TTGGCTCACTGCAACCTCCACCTCCAAGAGTTCAAGTGATTCTCCTGCCTCAGCTTCCCAAGTAGCTGGGATTACAGGCATGTGCCACCATGCCTGGCTATATTAATATTTATTTCTTTTTGTGAATATATTCTCACAATGTGTAGAAATTTAAATAAAATATCTTCTTTAATCTGGACCATATGTATGACCTCAAAGCTCTACACATAACTAATCTACACATAAGTAAAGGAAATTAGCACCAGGGAAATAAGTTACTTCAAATAATGTTCAAATAAGGGAATCAGCTTTTCTTCAGTTCCTACTGATGTTCCATAATACCCGTTTTAAAAATGTATGAAATGTTGTCTTTTCAACTACACACAACACTAACTTCTTAGTGAAAACCATGGAGCACATTAGAATTACGTTAGATAAATGAAGTTGGGTTATTTCCCAATTTCAAGAAGATTAAAATGGCATCTTTAATAATATAAAAAGAAAATCCCAAAACAGAAAAGAATCTTTAAATGTATAAAACTAACATGAACTGAAAACAGACATCCTATAAAATTAAACAATTAACTATGAAAAAAGACAGCTGAAACCTAACACCTACATTTGAAATCAAATGCATTTTCCAAACACAAATCAGCCATAATATTCAGAGATTCCAGCTGTAATCTTTTCTATGGTTATATCCACATCAACACCCAAATGACTTGTCAGCTCAGAGACCACACTACGCGATGCCAATAAAAAGTTGGCATCATAAAGAATTAAGAAAACCACCAAATATTTTCTGCTTGCTTTGGAAATAGGAGTTCAAATCAAATCTTTCCCATTCTTAAATATCCACTCCTGCCTTCTGGTAGCTAAGGTGGCCTTCAAAGACTCAACTGGACTCTACCAGTCTCTTTGCCCTCAACTCCCACTCAAGTGACTCTGACTTTCTGTACAGTAGCTAAATGAATTACCTGTGGCTGCCTTTTGCCTGACTGCTTCTGCAAATGCTTCTCTCTCCTCTAGAACACCTTTCCCCTCATCTCCCCACCAGGACCAATTCCACCTTGTACTTAATGAAAACAGAACCTATTCTGGGCAGCCTCCCCTAGCCGGAAATCTGGAGTGGCCAAGGGTCTAAGACACTCCTTTCTTTATGGTGCCAAAGCACTCTGTCATAGTATTTGTCATACCGTCTTAAATTTCCACCTCTCCTCAATAGATGTCAAGCTCTTTGAAGTCAGAATCTAAATCTATCTTTTGTATCTTCTAATTCTCAGGTCTAACAAAGTGCCTTATACATCACTGTAATACTGTTGATGAGATGAATGAATAAATGAGAAAGTTAAGCCAACACAATTTAAGAATATAGTAATCTGATTTTATATTAATACATTTTACCCTTAGAAAGTGGATAAGTCATAAAGAGAATGAACTTAGATTTTTTGTATTATATCACAAAGATTTCTAAATTTTATATTAAAAAGTAGTATATGAATTAGATGTTAATGGATTAAAAGATATTTAAGCTGCTGAGAGTAAGTCACATGATCCTACATGCTATTACAAAAAAAACTAACGCAAAAATAAATACATATTGATTTTAATCAATTCCTAGCTTTCATGCTTAAACAAATCTATGTCAAAAGTAACTATACATGTTTTTAACCATAAGTTTCACCAGTTGGATTAGAGAAGATCAGAATTAAAACAAATGTAGACCCTAAATGTTGTTTTTGAAAATTCATATAGATTAATGTTTATTTAGTGCTAATCAGTAAAAGGAAAATGAAAAGCAACACTGCTTCTAAATGTGAGGGAAACACCCTCTATTCCCCAATTCCAATGCTTTATACAATGACTGCAAAACACAAAAGCCTACAATGACATAATTCCTTCCCATAAATTTGAATGGTTAAGTCCCACACATTTTTCTAACTGAAACCTCAATATGCCATAATTTGTATAGCCAGGCAAAGTGACATCCTCAGTTCAAAAAACAGATCTCTATTTCCTATATTAGACACAGTCATTAGGTTATAATAAAAACTATGACCAAGTTGGAAATGGTATTCTAAGACCTTTGAGAATCCTTACCTAATCCTATTCGGTTTGGACTTGTTTCCCGGCTACATCCCTGGCTCCTGGGAATCTTGCTTCGCTTTTCTGAAGATGGTGTCACAGGTGGGCCTCGTGAGGAGCCCCCAGCAAGTCCACCATAACTACTTCCCAACAATTTTCCTGGAGAACTTGACCGGCTGCCGGCTAAAAGTGAAGCAAAATAACAATGAATAAAAGATATAAATGTAGAAATGAATTATGAAACTTTCAAAAGCCAGTTTTTACACATAAATTTGGATAAAATACGTAATTTTATATAAAAATAAATCTTCATTTGGTGGTGGTAGCAATTTTTTTTAAATGTAGGAACATAAAGACTATTGAATATCATAAAAGAATATACTTAGAAGAATTACTGGTAGAATTCTACAAAAATAACTACAAGATTTCTGATTCAAAACAGCAGGCTAAGTACCAACAATAGCCTCCTTGTTCCACAGTAAATACCTACAAATACCACAAGGTGTTTATTCTTGTTGTGTTTTTTTTTTGTATTCTGTAAGAGCTCATTATGTTAAAAATTTTAAATGTCATTGCTAGAAGAGCAGAAGTAGAACTATAACAATTTTCTTAAGCATTAGTTACAGAAAATGGATCCATGAAAAATCTATTCATCTGACAAATAATAGAAAAGGGGGTGGGGGATAAAATAACTAGAAATCTGGTAAATAAAAATCACAAAATAAGATAGTAGGACGTTCAAGTATATTAATCATAATAAATGTGGCTGGATTAAATTCATCGATTTAAAAAAGATTAAAACAAGCCTGGACTGCTGGCTTATGTCTGTAGTCCCAGCACTTTGGGAGGCCAAGGTGGGAGGATCACTTGAGCCCAGGAGTTTGAGACCAGTGTGGGCAACAAGAGGGAGACTCCATTTCTCCAAAAATTTAAAAAATTTGCCAGGCATGCTGGCATATGCCTGTAGTCCCAGCTACTAGGGAGACTGACGTGGGAGGATCACTTGAGCCCAGGAGGTCAAGGCTGAAGCAAGTCGTGATCACACCACTGCACTCCAGACTGGGCAATACAGAGCAAGACCCTATCTCTAAAAAAAAAAAGAAGAAAGAAAGAAAGAAAGAAAGAGAAAATGTAAAGTAAAAGAAAATGAAATTCAGCTGTCTGGTATTTCTAAGAGTCAAACAATACACCACAAACAAAAACAAATCAAATAAAACGCAGCATTTAAAAAGGACAAAGAAGGATATTTAATATTTATGAAAGAATAATTGTCCATGAAGATATAATAATCACAAACCTTTATGCTCCAAACAACATAGTTTTGAAATATAAAACTTCCTGCACTAAAGCCTTAAAAAAATAAAAAGAAATATAAAACTAAAAAATGATAAAAGTATAGGGAAAAATGGAAAAAGCCATACTTACCAAAAGACCTCATGGAAAGGCTAATAATTATTGAAAAACTATATACCTCATAGAAATTGACAGAGCAATGAAAATTGTGCCTGTGTGTGTATACATATGTATAAAAACACACACTTCCCACATGCAGATATATATCCCAACAAATAGAATACACATTCTTTTTACCTTTCCATACGTGAATATTAAAAAAAAAAAATTGTGTATTAAGCCTCAAAGCAAATCTCAAAAAAAATCTACAGAAGTAGAAATAACATGGACCATATTCTTTGAAAAGTATGCAATAAAACTGGAAATTAAAAACTAATAATATGACTGATAATTTTTATTAATAGTTAAGTAGCTAGATACATATATTACCATTGCTTGTGGGGCACAATTCTCACTCAGAGAAAACAACAAAATTTTAAGCATCATACCAACACATTCAAATGGCAGTCATTTGCATTGATAATCTCCCTAAGTAGAGTAGGCAATAAAATTCTAAAATGTCAAGTATACATTATTATGTAGTAGACTAGAATGACCCAGGGGAAGAAAGTATTTGAAGCAACAGTTAGCTATAAATTTATATGTGTGTTTATTTTAAATATATATTATTTAAAAATACATATTATATAAATCAAAACAACCATCATTCAACTGAACCACTTAGGTAAATATAAAAATTAATGGTTTATAATGATTTAACTACAAATTAAAGTGAAAAACCATTATAAAAACCAATAATATACACTACCATGAATAATTTGTCTCAGGACCAATTAATTTTACCCATAAAATTTGAGCTACTAATAAACTATTAAACTATGTATAAAGGGAAAAGAAATCCATTTCAAACTCTAGAATTTGAACACAAAGAAAAATGCAGAAAGATTAACTAAGCTTACAATAAAGACAGAAATTAATATTGTGCAAGGAACATGGGGTGAGGGAGAATGCAAAAAAAAAAAAAAAAAGGCAAGAGAAATGGCTTACCACCAGCAGGATTAGCAGATCTGGATCCTTGATTATGAGAGCAGACCAAAGGACAGGCAAAAAGTGGATTAAAAGACAATAACACAATACAGAAGGTCAGCATGCAACACAACACAAAGGTGTTTGTTCACAAATACATTAGCAAAATAGCTAATCCATTTCCTAGAATTTCTTCCTATTTTTGTACTTATGTTTATTTTATCTTTGTCATTCTACATTAGCATTTATTTTCAGGTCTGTTCATAAAATACTTTCAAACCTACAATATGCCAGACTCACATCTGTTCTCTTGCTTTAAGCAACCTGAGGAAAGTGACTGTAACTTACTCATCTGTGTATCACTACCATCTTCAAAACTGCTTACCACATAGTAAATGCTCAATAAACATCAATTAGCTGAAAGAAACTGCTGTTAGCTACTTCCACCTGACTGTCCTGACTTCCTATAAACCTCAAATATTTAAAATATGCCAATTATTAAGGACCTTAAATCTAATATTAATGAAGCCCACTTAGTATTAAATCAGAACTATGAATACTAGTATATCTACATTTGTGATACATATGCTTATATTTACCACTTATTAAAATAATTTTAAAATTATTTAACTTATATGCATAAGCTTAACATGTAGGCTTCATAACTGCCTAGTGTGGTCTCTCTTCCTGAGTATGATTTGGTAAGTAAAGTAAAACTGGGGAGTTTTAAAAGTGGAGCCCCAAGGCTAGGTACAGTATAAGACTGAAAAACCAAAGCTCTATTATCACCCTAACCACTAGTAGAGAAGGAACTGTAATCTTCACCACCTGCCAAGCAGAGGTAATGTATGCCATTCCTAAAACCTGCAATATGGAGAGAAAACTACAGCATTGACCCAGCTAGGCCAGGGAACCCTAAAGAGCCCAATGCTGATAAACAGCACTAGAAAGAAGCATGTAAAATACTGTTCAACCCTAAACCTCCACAGAGGGAAATAATACTGCACAATTAAAAGCTTTGATATTTTTTATTTGGCTTAATTTCATTATATCGACCTATATTCTGAGATTTGAATACTTTTTGTTGAGAATTCCTTTGCAGTGAAATTTGACCCATATGTACCCTTTTGTGCCTCCAGGCATCACTAGTGTTCAACAGAATAACCAGAGCCAGGAAGCTGTTCCCAAGATAGAAGCTTCTGGGCTACACCTGCACCCTGGATCTGAATGAAAATCCGGGTTAAGTTGTACAGTAAGCAGGGCATTCTTGGTCTTAATGGACTCTCAATGTACCCTCAAATCCATTCCTAGCCTTCTTTTCTAAACCTACTGAAGTAGACAGGTATCAAGAAGGCGCAACCTCAGCTAGGACAGGAGTCTGCTGACCTGACATTATGACTATAAAGCTTGCTTCCATTTACTGTGTATCACATGCTAGGCTCCTAATTCTCATTAAATCCTCCTGAAAGCCCCATGAGGGTAGGAATTGTTATCACTCAATTCACAGACAATGAAACAACAGCTCACAAAGGTTAAATGACTCGCCCAACATCACACTGTAGCCACAATGCAAACCCAGTTTTGTCTGATACTGAAGCCCGCGCTTGTAGTATACCATACTACACAATACAACCTAGCCACAGGGAGGTTCTGCAGCCTCACCAAAGGCAGCAATATAACTGACCTGCTTTCCTTGCAGAAGTGATATAACATGAGGACTACGGTTATCAAAGGGAAAAAAATTTAAATTCAGAAGTTGTTGAGCAAGGCATTCTCTATATTAAGAGAACTCCTAAGTTTGGTGCCGATGGAGCACTGTCCACCAAAGACAAATAGTTCCTTGGGCCACAAAAGAGGCAGACAAACATCGGCTAGTGAGTGCTGTGCTGTGGGATCACATGCAGCTCCTGGGGACAGGAAGACTCTTCCTACCCATGCTCACCTTGCCCAGGGGCACTCTGCTACCCAGCTCTGCTCAACATGCATAGAGAGGAAGCGGGGCCCCTCAAAGTTTATGTGTGGCTGGAAAGTGAGACACCAAGGGCGGATCTGAAGAGTGACCGGAATAAATTCATTCCAGCTGTGGCTGTTTTCATGGCTGAAGCTAACAAACCAACTGACTTCACATATACAGAGACGTGATCATGGAAGCAGGGCAGCTAGGCAAAGCAAGGGCCCACACGGCAGGAAGAGAGGTGCGGGCTGCAAATGTTAGAGCACAGAGTTAAAGGGGGAGAGCTTTTAATGGATTTACTTATTTACCACTGGAAAGAACATAGCATTAATAGTTTTCTGCCCAGGTTCTATTCTAAAATTACATCAGAAAGATTCCTTATCAATGCAAAAATGGGTCACAGAACAGGTAAGTTACAATTTGACAGGCTTCAAAGGAGGGACAAAAACTACATTTTAATGTTTAATGCTTAACAGTATAAAACGTAAGTCACCTGGAAAGGAGACAAATGTATGCCTGGAATGTTCCATTTTTTAAGCTTACCCAACAAACAGTAAGATTACTCACAGTAACTTCGAGCCACAAAAATGTGTTTTTCCCTCTTAAGTCAATACAAAGATTGTAAAATGTTCAACTGCAGAATGGGCTGTTGAATAAATCTGAGGTAAGCAACAGCATAAATTATGTTTCTTACGCTGGGACTGTGAAACCACTTTAGCGCGACTGCGGCCCCGGTTATCAGAAGGTGTAGAGGCGACGTTGGTGGCACTCCCAGAGCTTTGCCGTCTTGTGCGGATCCGACCTGGAGAACATAGCAAAAACAGTGTTTTCACAACATTTCTAGTAAGTGTCACCTACTCAAGAAAAAAACCCACACCCCGAAAGAGGGGCACTGACCGGCCAATGACATGGGGAGCAACAGCTTCTGTGAGCAGATCCTCCACACGAGGTCTGCCATGTCTCCCTGTGTGTGCACGCACACATGTGCATATGAGCTACACACAGCTGTTCTATGAACACAGGAGGAACTCCTGAGATGGCACCATGGACTTGCAGCTGTTTAGGTTTCAACTATTTTAGTATGTTATCTTTCAGGCAAGGAAGTGATATCCATTTGAGGATATTTCCCATAATTTTTTCCAGATTAAATTTTCTTTTTTGTCTATGAAGCTGACAAATTTCCAAAAACAGAAAATATTAGCTGTCACTGTAAAAAATGAAAAATTATAGAAAATAAGAGTAATGCAAAACAAAAAACAAAAAAACCCAAACAAAAAAGTCTACCTTCTGAACTCAGCCATCAAAAAGCTATAGCTCCCCAGTGAATAAATGTGCTTTTGACATGTAGCATTAAACTTCTATTTTTAAAGCATGTATGTAAGTTTCTAAGATAAAGAAAAGATAAAGCTAAAGTGATATAGCTGAAAAGAATCAATATTAGGAGTGCCTAGAGAAACGATGGCCTAAAGACAATTCGATACTGTAGGCAGTTACAGAAAAATTACGCCAATTATTGAACCATGAAGCCATAAAAATAAAAATGAATTCAGAAACACAAAATCACTGGTGATCAGACTAGTATGAATAGTGATTAAACTTTTTTTTTTAAAAGGACCGTTTTGGTTTCAAGAGAGCACAAAATGCACCCCCAGCCACAACTCAATGAGGATAGCACAAACCAATTCGAGCTCCCACTGGCTTGTTATATTGTTCAGAATCACCTCCACCCCCACAAGCGACAAAGCTTACAGAGAAGTAATGCAGAAAACAAATCCTAAAGCTTGAAAAACGTTCAAGAAAGGAAGACAAAGAGCAATGAAAGAAAGCTGGCATTTAAAAAATACTAAAATTAGTTAAGAATCAATGACTTCTAATAACAGTTTAAGAAAAAACTTGTTTACAAACTCTAAGAATCTATACAGAAGTGAAAAGCTATACCATTTACTAACAACTATGTATGAGTCAACTCAGAATCCTCACAGCATATAAAGTAATTACTCCCATTTAACAGGTGAGGTAACCAAGAAACAGGGAAATGAATTAATTTGTGCAACGTGACACTACTGGTCTAGATACTTGTGCCTGGCTGGCTGGCAAGTCTATGAGTGATGACCTTTGATTTTCCTAAGGAAGTCACCAAGCTAAATTAAGGCAGTCACAAAGGCAAAGTGAACATGAAAAAACAACCGAATTTAAATTCTTAATTTTATGATAAAATATTTAGGTCACAGAAAGATTTTTAAATGAACATTTATATTCATTCAGCTTAAAAAATAAAAATTCTCTTTGCTAACCCTCTACTTTTCCCCAACATTGGGTTACATGATCCTAAACCCAGTGTTCAGCATTCTCTTGTGTTTTTTTGGTAAATAAACGTTTTCACAACCAATATGTGGTTTTGTTTTACATATTTTAAAAGTTTTTAAATTGTAACACAGGGTATATATTTCCTAAAGCTTAACTGTTTTACTAACATTTTATTTGTAAAATTACTCATGTACAGATAAAGAACGGATACACATTATTTTCTCCATATGACTAACCAATGTTCAAATAAATTTACTTAACACTTTCCTTACTGATTAAAATGCCACCTTCACTCACTGTTTATTGAGAAGCACTTATGTGTGTCTGGGTTTCTCAGCCCAGTCTGTCCCACTAGTCAATGTGCCCATACCTATGCAACATCATAATACTGTGATTAGCTTTTTATTAATTAATTAATTTATTTATGAGGCGGTGTCTCTTTTTGTCATCAGGCTGGAGCGCAGTGGTGTGTGATTTCAGCTCACTGAAACCTCCACCTCCCAGGTTCAAGCAATTCTACTGCCTCAGCCTCCCAAGTAGCTGGGATTACAGGCGTGGGCCACCACACCTGGCTAATTTTTCTATTTTTAGTAGAGATGAGATTTGGTCATGTTGGCCAGGCTGGTCTCCAACTCCTGACTTCAAGTGATCTGCCCACCCTGGCCTCCGGAAGTGCTGGGATTAGAGGTGGAAAAAACTGCACTCGGCCTGTGATCAGCTTTTTTTAAAAAAGACAACTCGCTAAAGTGGCAGGACAAGTAAATTCACCTTTTCCTAAGCCCTTTGCTTTCTTCTATATGCATGCACAGACACAATAACAACACCTGTTGAAATGTTGGCTGGCATTATGTGAAATTCTGGGTTAAGGGGAAAAGCTTTATAATATTGGTCTTCTTATTATAATCTTATGTTTATTTAACTTTTTAAATATCTTTTGATAAAGTTTGATCATTTTTTTCAAAGGTCTTACTCTATTTTTATAGACTTATTCAGAGTTGCTTTACTTTTATTATATATATTTTATTAAGTTTTATTTTCTGTTCTTGGCAGATAAGAATGGGATCGTGATATTTTGATCTTAACGCACTAGAATCTGCTACACTTTTATTAATTCTACTAACTTGTACACAGATTTGGGGTTATCTAAATAGAATAAGATTCACAAATAACTCATTAACTTATTTCCCCCAATTCACTTTTACTTCTTTGCCTTTATTGTGCTGTCTTGGTCATGTAATACAATGCTAAATAGAAGCAGTGAGGTTGAGTACTGTTGACTCAAACAAGATTTTTAAAAAGAATTTCTGGGCCGGGCACGGTGGCTCAAGCCTGTAATCCCAGCACTTTGGGAGGCCGAGGCGGGTGGATCACGAGGTCAAGAGATCGAGACCATCCTGGTCAACATGGTGAAACCCCGTCTCTACCAAAAAGACAAAAAATTAGCTGGGCATGGTGGTGCGTGCCTGTAATCCCAGCTACTCAGGAGGCTGAGGCAGGAGAATTGCCTGAACCCAGGAGGCGGAGGTTGCGGTGAGCCGAGATCGCGCCATTACACTCCAGCCTGGGTAACATGAGTGAAACTCCGTCTAAAAAAAAAAAAAAAAGAATTTCTGAAACTTCATAGAAAGTATAATTTGCCAACAGGTTAAGAAAAGTCAGCCAGGCGCAGCGGCTCTTGCTTGCAATCCCAGCACTTTGGCAGGTCAAGATGAGCAGATCACCTGAGGTCCAGAGAGGTCAAGACTGGCCTGGACAACATGGCGAAACCCCATCTCTACTAAAAATACAAAAATAAGCAGGGCGTGGTGGTGCACACCTGTAATCTCAGCTACTCAGAAGGCTGAGACAGGACAATCTCTTGAACCTGGGAGGTGGAGGTTGCAGCGAGCTGAGATCACAGCACTGTGCTCCAGCCTGGGGAAAAGAGTGGAACTCCATCTCCAAAAAAAAAAAGAAGAAAGAAAGAAAAGAAAGAAAAGAAAGAAAAGAAAGAAAGAAAGAAAGAAAGAAAGAAAGAAAGAAAAAAGAAAATTCATTTCTGTGCCTAGTTGTTAAGAAGCTTTACTGTAAAGTTTTTGATGTTTTGTCTACATCTTTTGAGATAAGACGGGTTTTCTCCTGAAAGTAAACATTAAGCAATTTTAAAATATTGGGCCGGGTACAGTGGCTCATGGCTATAATTCCAGCACTTTGGGAGGCTGAGGTGGACAGATCCCTTGAAGACAGGAGTTCGAGACCAGCCTGGCTAACATGGTGAAACCCTGCCTCTACAAAAAATTCAAAAAATTAGTCAGGCATGGTGGCATAGACCTGTAATACCAGCTACTTGTAAGGCTGAGGCACAAGAATTACTTGAACCCAGGAGGCAAAGGTTGCAGTGAGCTGAGATCGTGCCATTGTACTCTAGCCTAGGTGACAGAGTGAGACTCTGTTTCAAAAAAAGAAAAATTAAACCTGGGCTAAACCTACATGGTCATGACATACACACCCACATACACAGTGTTTGTATTGTCCTCTGGTCGTACTAGCTCATAAAACCAGCAAGGAAAGTATTACCTCTTTACCTATTCTCTGAGTTTACGTAAGATTGGAATGACCTAATGTTTTCAATATTTTTTTGCACCTCTACTGATAAACTGACAATGCAATTATCCCGTGTTTGATACAACTTGTGTGTGGAACCATCTGAGCATGGCAGGAATTTGGGCGTATATCTTTTCCATTTTAATTAGGTTTATTTTGGCAGGGTGGGAATAGGGCAACAAACTTTTAGCTAGATTCAAATTGTTTAATGAGCAGTCTTAAAACTATTCACATTGCTTGTTTCTTTGAAAAACAGGTTTGGGTTTTCTTGAAACTTGTACAATCTGTTTTTGAATTGTTAACAAAGCTTTCATAGATTTATCCTATTACCTTAATTTTTAAAAAGTAATATTATTATTTTTGAGTTTTGCAGAGAGTAATTTATTTAGGCAGAGAGAAAGAAAAAGGTGAAAAAAATAGAAAAAGAGAAACCATAGCTTCCACGAGGTCATGGAAGGGGAAAATCATTATTATTTTCTGAGACAGAGTCTAGCTCTGCAGCCTAGGCTGGAGTGGAATGGTGCGATCATAGCTCACTGGTGTCTTACCTCCCAGGTTCAAGCTGTCCACCTTAGCCTTCCAGTAGCTAGGAGCAGCTGGGACTACAGGTGCACGTCACCACACCAAACTAATTTTTAAATTTTCTGTAGAGATGAGGTCTCACTATGTTGCCCAGGCTGCACCTGGCCTTACTATGATATGTTTAACTATGGATATTTTTTCTTTTTGTCTTACTTGGAATTAACTGGGTTTCTTCAATCTGTGCTTCAGTGCCTTTTTTTTTTTTTTTTTTTTNAGGCTGGAGTGCAGTGGTGGTGTGATCTCGGTTCATTGCAACCTCCACCTCCTGGGTTCAAGCAATTATTGTGCCTCAGCCTTCCAAGTAGCTGGGACTACAGGTGCAAGCCACCA